GCATTTCCAGGGTGAAGAGTCATCCAGGAAAGCCTAGTAGCTCTCAGAGGCCTCCTGATGGTGTACACACAGAGGGTACTTACTAAATGCTCGTTGAACTGGTGAAGACTGAGCCTGAGTGGCCTAAATTGAGTTTCTACAGCAAATTTTTATCTGAGGAAATGGGTATGTTTATTGGGCCTGGTCCATAAGGAAAATCAAGTTAGCTCACAGGGAATCTACCTCTCTTCCTGAGTTCTGAGAAAGAGCTTGGCTTAGGTGAGAGCATTAGGTTTCCAGACAACGAAGGGAATTGATGTTAGTGTGTCCTACACCGACATGCATTCTTGTTAGTGTGTGAGTTTAAGAGGGTCACAGACTCTCTAAGCCTCAGTTTCTTTGTCTACAAGAGGAGGACAATAGTGACTTACAGATGTTTTGCCTAGCATTGTAGCAACAGCACATAGTCCCTGTAGTGTTTGGCATGCAATAGGTGTTGAATAAATATTTGTTAAATAAATAAAAGAACAAGTACTAGGGGAAGGCAAGAAGGGAGATGATTGATTTTGTGAAGCTTATATGAAATAAATGCTTTGAAAATTCCTACCACAATGCCTCATAAGTAGACATTCTCTGAGTAGTATCACTATGATGATAATGACGAGATGATGTAACGATGAAGAACAGATTCAGAAAAAAAATCTTCTAAGTACGTATAATAAAGCCTTTATTTTTCTGAAACTAGGCCTGCTTTTTCTTCTTTTTGTAATCCATGGTCACTGTCTTGGTCCATTCTGGCTGCTATGGCAAGTACCATAAATTAGGTGGCTTATAAATGACAGAAATCTATTTCTCACAGTTCTGGAGGCTGGGAAGTCCAAGATCAAAGTGCTGGCACTTTCTCTCTGGTAAGGGCGATTCTTGGGTCATAGATAGTGCCTCGTCACTGTGTCCTCACATGGTAGGAAGGGGTGGGACTGTTCTCTGGGGCTTGTTTCATAATAAGCCCTCATGACCTACCTACCTGCCAAAGGCCCTACATCCTCCTAACGATGTCACATTCCTGATGCAGTTTCAATACATGAACTTGGGAGGGGTGGGGGGTGGCATAAACAGTTCAGCACAGCAGTTACTTTACTTTCCAGCTATACCTCAGTGGCCAAGTCACTCTTGGCCACTAAGCCCATAGCCATTAAATCTGGTATTTAGTAAATAATCTAAATAATTTCAATTACAGAAAGAAACTGCATGGATGTGACATGATTGAGGGTTGCTGTTGATGGTTGTTGCAGGTAGGAGCAACCCATTTTCGATCACTAGAACTAAGTGATCACATGATAATTACTTCTAGGACAAATAATCATCAATACTTTGGTTACCATAGTTGCCTGAGGGTAAAAGAAAGCATTTTTAAAAACACCACTCTCTTCCTAAATGTCATTAAGTTATAGAAATGCCATTCATTGCCATCATTTGCCTGATTAATGAGATGCTTTTTACCTCAAGAATATCTGGATATTCTTGCCTTTCTGTAACCATCTCTTCCCCTTCCCTTTTGTGCGTAAGTACAAAGGGTCAACCTGACAACTCAATAGACAGTTTAGGAGAGAAACTGGGAATGGTAGTTATTAAATTTGCTGAAAGTCCTTGATTATGAATTATTTTCTAAAGAATGTGTTTTGAGAGACCTGAGTTCAAATCTCAAATTCACCTATTACTCACTTTGTGACATTAAGCAAGTTATTATATGTTTCTAAGCTTAAATTCCCATATAAATTATACAAGGATCTTGTGTGGATTAAATAAAATGTCATTTGAAAGTTTATCTACAATAAATATACAGCAAAAGTTAATTTCCTTCTTTTACAAGTTGAGCAGTCTATCAACTGATAGAGACTCCTGGAAGAAGCAGGTATATGCCCAGACCTTACTTTGAAGCTTGGGTACAGGGAAAGATACATGGGAGAGGTTTCTTCTCAGTGAGACACACAGCTCCTCCCACTATCTGAAAGAATGGGTGTGGTCTGAAAAATACAGTATTCCATGATTCTGGGTCAGCTGTGCTGATGACAATCACGGAGAAAGTTCCTTTCAAGCTTCTTGCCAAATGGAATACCGTTCTTTTTCACCACTTGAATTTTAATCACAGGTAAAACAATAAAGATAGGCATAAGTATACAGTTTGAAAAGCAAGTACACAAAGATACAGAGCAGAATCTTTCCTTAGAGTCTTATCAATAAAAGGAGGGGCTGCCATGCTGTTTCTGTCTGACTAACACAACAGTGGGAATGGACACCCATACCATTTCCAGTTACCTATTGCTTACCATAAAATTGGCAACTCTCCAGTTCTCGAGCAAAACAGAAACAATCTAATGAGTATTTGTGCCCAAGAAGAAATCAGAGAGAAGAAGGCTATTGCCAGGGACATTGTTCTTAAGCATTATTCTCCATTGTCTTTTATATTTTCTCATCTAGGCCAGACTTACCTTAACAAGTAGAATAATGGATTTTTCCACATTGGTGTCATTAAGCTTTGTTGAGTTCTTGAAACGTTTTCTAAAAGACTCTGAACAGTTCTTGTTACATTATAATCCCCGTGGCCTTGTGGGGCTAGTGTGAAAATAACTCTTCCATGCTGGCCTTCTGCACCTGCAGCCTCCAAGCCATGCAGAACTAAAGAGAGAGACGGAGGTGAGGAAATCTACAGATAGATAGACAGAAATGAAGCTCCTATGTAGGAGACAAAATGGAAAATGAAACTTCTAGTAGGTTGGTATATGAGTCAACTAAGTGTTTCATGAGAACAAGTGTTTATTCACTTCTCTGCCTCAAAGCCAGTGAGTAAAATTCACTGGTGGCAGGGGCTAGGCATTGTGGTAACATTTACTATCAAAACCTGAGACAAGATCCATGTATGACCTTCTGGCTTAAGAATACTTCTTATTTTTAGGGCTCTTCTCTTGACCACAAATCAAGCACCCCAAGCAGGGACCAGATTACCAGTACTTGCCAACAACTTCCCTCGCTGGTTTTGTATCTACTGAGCACATCCTGTTTGGGATACAGTGCTTTTTACCTTCAGCTAAGATGAGATGCATCTTAGACTTGTTTGGGATACCTTCAGCTAAGATGAGATGCATCTTAGACCAGGTTTAGGGACCACAGGGCTTCCCCATTTTGGGAAGGCAACGTCAATCATTGCCAGTAAATGGAGCCTTGGCAACAGTATATAAAAAAGATTATAAACAAAGTGCCATTGAGTCACACTCAGTCTATTGACTTACACCAGATCAGAAAGTATGAAATGCCAAATGCCCTATGCAGTAGAATGAATGGTGCTCTTCACCCCCAAGAATGTCCATGTCAAATCCCTGGAATCTGTGAATGTGATCTTATTTAGAAAAAGGGACTTTGTAGATGTAATTAAGCCAAAGATATTGCGATCTTTAGGAGATTATCCTGGACTATCCAAGTGGGCACTAAATTTAATGACAAATGTTTGTTTTGTTTGTATTTCAAATTTCCAGGGGATGCGTACATTTCTCAGCGAGGAAAGAAAGCATACCCTCAATGGAACATGATCCCACCACAATACCTTCTCCACTTCTCCATCCTGTTGGGATTGAGGTCATGCACACACACACATGCTGGTGTATTTTCACGCTGTGGGACTGGGATTCAAACCACAGTTGGAAATTTGGGATCTTGCTTTCCTAACCTCTAGGCCAAGGGGCTGGCCTGATAGGTATTCTTATAAGAGACACACACAGAAAAGACAGAGAATAGAGAAGAGGGCGATTATGAAGACAGAGAGAGTGGTATAATTACAAAGAATGACATGAATTGCCAACTTCTAACAGCTATAAGAATAAGAGAGGGGCAGAGAATGGATTCTCCACCAGAGCCTTAGAAGAAAGCACAGCCCTGGGGCCAGCAGGTGGTGTGGTAGTTGAGCTGTTGTACTCCCACATGGCCGACCATGGTTCGAGTCCCAGACCTGGTGGCTTGCTTTTTCACTTTCCCTTTCTCTCTCTCTAGTCAAATTTAAAATAATAATAATAATAATAATAAATAAAATTAAATGAATAATAAAAAAAAAGAAGAAGCACAGCCCTGTTGGATTTGGGACCTGTGGCCTCCAGAACTGTGCAAGAGTACACTTCTGTTGTAAACCACTCGGTTTGTGCTAATTTGTTGCAGCCTGTTTCTGGTTCTTTGTAGCAGTGCCATAAACGTTCTATTTCTCTATATAAACTCTACCTAGCCCTCCTCCCTTTATTAATATGCTGGAGGAAAGAAGATCCCACTTCCATCATCCTACCTTTTTTTAAAAAAACTACTACTGGGACCAGCAAGTGGGACAGAGGTTGAGGTGGCTAAATCCCACATGGCTGACTGAATGATTCGAGTCCTAGATCTGGCAGCTTGAAAAAACACACCAAGTGTGTGTGTGTGTGTGTGTGTGTGTGTGTGTG